CTAGACACCTCAGCTAACACCTCAGCTAAGACCTGAGACACCTAAATGAGCTTACCAAGACTTTTGAGATCACACCCACAACATTATTCACTACCCGAGACAAAAATTTTTAGCTGGTAAGTAACAGAATAGAGCAAGTTTAAAGTATACAAAGGCACACCAGAGCCGCTTTGGTTCCTACAGAAAACAAGAAAAAAGTGCCAATCATAACCTGCCTTCTTTCCACCAATGTACTTCTATCCACTACAGAAATACTTCTTCCATACCAAAGGAAACAGCTTTAATGCTCAGAATAAATTTGAGCTCATCTTGATTATACAGTCTTAGTAGGAAGTAAGATTTCTCCAAATCACCCTATAAAAGCAACCTCCATCAAGCAGAATAATTAGGCCAACACTTTTGGAAGAGTTCACTGCCTTGCTATTCTAGCCACATTGCTGTCATGGCTTTTAACTACAGTCCATGCTCCATAAAACAAGTGAAATAAATCCTACTGCAGATTCAGATGAAGGGAATAGACCTCTAAAGTTTTAAGCTACTTGCCAGCTCAGTCTTTCTCATCTGGCAGTGTTTCAGAGACATTAAGCCTCTCTTACCACTTGCCAACTTTCAGTAGGTAGAACAGATCTGATAGGCATTGTTTGTAAGAAAAACAAGCTTGCCCTTGCTAGCCTTTCTGTACCAAAAGTTAGACCAAAGAGGAAAAATATTAATCACACAAGGCTTTGGCAAGCTCCCCTCTGAAATACTGAGCACAATTCTAGCTTCCCACATCCAATGAAGACCAATTCAAGATACAACAGATAGGAAAAAACCCACCCACAGTTAGAATAATCCTAGAAAAAGGCTTGTCTTAAAGTTAAGGCCTGAGTTGGTATTTCTTTCTATAAAAACAGATAGGTACACTAAGACAGAGTAGTTGCCTCAAAACTGGTCATGAATAAATTCAGCGTTCAAACTAGACAGCTAAACCCCAAGGGGGAACATTTTGAAATACCCTTCTAGAAATGTAT